TCTATTTCAAGATTTCACTCAAAAACTCTAAATCTTTAATCTTCTCTAACTCCTTTATCTTTTGATTTTAAGATAACTTAAGCTTTCCTTAAGCTTAGTTATCATCTAATGATACCTTTAATTCAACAAATAATCAACAAAATAGAAACTCACCTTTGCTTGTATGCTTCACGGTGGAGAAGAGAAGAAGATGAGAGAAAATAAATTTCACGTGGGTTTCCCTTATCTTATAAGGGAAATAAAAATCTTTCTTATCAAATGACCATTTTGCCCTTTAATTCTCTTAATAATTACTAATAACTTTCAGGAAATATCTCCACATAAATCATTGAACTATTTAATTATTCTACTTTTATTACCAAATTCTGAAATTTTACAATTTAATCACTAACCCATAGTTTGGGATGTTACAAATATTGTAACGGTCAACCGCAAAAAACATTGGTCAAAGGGTCACATTGAGTTTATTTTCTAAGTTTGAAGGACATAATGAGAGAAAAATAATATGAAAGCCACATTAAATTTTTTTAAGTACAAGGACCTGTGATATCTTTTTGTCGTTTAAATAAACTTAACGTCTGACAAGAGATAACAAATAAAATAAAAGGAGATTTAATTATATAATATCAGTAATTTAATAACTTTTTAAAAAATATTAATATCATGAATGTAGTAAGGAGGTTTTAAGTGCTTATACAGTTTGGCAGGTTCCATTTAAAATTTTTGATTAAATGGTGTTCAAAGCGAGTGAGTGAACATAGTTGAAATCTCAGATAACACTTTCGTTCTAATGGCATTCATTCGTTTAATAATATCGGATAATTATGTCCTTTCACTTCTACCTCCTCATCTGGGAAGGTGGATGGTGGAACTTGCAAAAATGAGAAGCTATGACCAAGTTACTTGGTAAGGTTAACAGTTAAAAGAAATTACAGAATATTAGGTTTCGTTTGTGCCATGTTTGCAATATAGAAATTGTATGTTGGAAAGCTATAAGTTGTTTGATTGAAATGTCAAATCATAGATTTTTGGCTGATCTCCACATACTGTTAATGGTTACATGGGTTCTATAAATTAGAATTATCATGACTTTATTTTTCCAAAACTTTGGGTTGACTATGTTTGTGGCATTTGTTCCATGGTTTTTATATGCTCATGTGCTAACATGCAGTTGTTTCTAATTACAATTTTATTTCTTTCCTTTCAGTTTTATAACTTTGGAAATTTGTGTATTGCTGTCTGTTGTAAATTTTATAATTTTAACCCTTGATATTTTATGCTTGCTAATACTGTGAAATTGCTGTTTCATTGGTTACGTTGGAAACTTTCTCTATATGCATGATGGGACATAGAATTTTAAGTTAGAGGCGATAAACTTATAAAATTTTAAGCAGTAAAAACATATTTTCAAAAAAAATACAAAGAAAATTATTTAAAATATATAAAATTTTAAAAATTCCCATCCCTATTTATATGTTCCTCTAACTACCAGAGGAAGTAGATTAACTTTAATGTATCAGGGCTAAGTGGTAGGTATCCTATTTTCGATCCGGTTGCTCAAACATCAGATGCGAACTGGACTCTTTTCATTTTATTGGACATGTTGGAATCAGGCAGTAGTCTTCCTCGTATCCAAATTGATATTCATATTCTCTTGTCCTGGTCTTTGACTAATTCTGAAAATGCTTGTACCTGTACAGATTGTGCTCTTGAAACTTTCTAATACATGTTTAGCTTTCCTTTCAGATTGATGCTGACGGTGAAGTTTTTTTTTCCATGTTGAGAAAACAAATTGTTGTGAATTACCAACAACAAAAGGTATTCAAATTGTAATTTGTTACTTCTTTTTTGTTGTGAATCTCACCCAAATTTGAATCAAGTTGTAATTTGTTCTTTTCTGCTTTGAATTTTCCCTATCTCTTCCATTTGTTTTCTTCTTCCACTTTGAAGTTTGCTAGTGGGTGGTATAATTGCAAGAAATGCCCCTCCCATAGTACTAAATTGCAACCGCAACGCATCGTAACGCCCGCATCATAACGTTTTTTAAGGTTACCGCTACGCGATATCGGCACAACATGATAAGGGAACCGCATCACGATTATTGCGGTAAAAAATCGTTACGTAACACTGCAACACGCTATAAATTGTGCCGCAACGCTGCAACAAACTTTAAATTATCTGAAATATAAAATTACATAGATGAATTGTTCTAATTTAATTCTTAAAATGGATTATAAAATATATCATTAATAATATCGTAATAGTTATGTTTAAAATTAGTTACTTAAATTTAAATTAATTAAATTTTTTATTAACGTTATTTTAAAATTAAATTAAATTAATTTAAATTAATTTTTTCTCATATCTAAAATTAACGTGATTAATTTTAAATTAAATTTTTATATTAACATTAAGTATCATAATTATATGTTTATTTATTATATAAATTTTGTATAAGAGAAGAATTCACTTTATAATACTGTAATAGTATATGTATTTTATCTATATTGTGAAACTATAAAATTTTATTTAACATATAAATAAATAAATAATATTATAAATAAAATAAAATAAAAATGAATATATTTCTTGACAAAATAAATAAATAATATTATAAATAAAATAAAGTTCAACTACAAATGATAATGAAATTAGTGAATCATCTCATGGTTCTCATTCTTACCAACCAAATTCATGTTATCCACCTTACCTTGAACAGAATCCAAATTATGGATTTTTTTTGTCATCATTTATCATACAACATGTTTCCTACCAATGATGCATCTTATGATGCTCATAATGTGATGTATTCTTCACATGGAATAGGAAGGAATCAAAACCAAGACAATGACGAATATGAAAATGCTTTAGATCCGTCACGCCATTCATTTTGATGGTGAACTGTAAAATATATAATTTTTATATTTGTAGTTATGTATTTTTTTTTCTTTTTAAGTTATGTAAAATGAATATTTTTATGTTACAATATAAAATATTTGATATGATTTTAGTGATATTGTTTATATGTTATTTATTAACATTATAATTGTTATTACCCATTATCCAATATTATAACAATTCTATGGTTTATATTTGTTTTTAATAAAATTTTATCTATGAAATTAATTTTTATTTTCAAAATAAAATATTAAAAGAGTATATTATTAATATTAGTATATTAAAAGATAACTGTAAAATATCTAAATGTAATATTTTATACGTATTTTGATTTTTGAGGATGAGATCACGTCCGCGACAACTGCAACACATTACGTAACGTCCGCAGCATCTGAAATCGCGACACCGCAACCGCGTTTGCATTAAAATCCGCAACCGCAGTTTGATAATATGCCCCCCTCCTCTTTGGACACACACATTGTCAATTGTTTGTCAGATGTTATGTATCTTCCTTTACTATTCATGAGAACATTTATACAGCCAATTGATGTTTTACGTACCTTGGTAAGTCTTAATATTGTTCACATCACATTTTGGTTCTAAATCATGTAGACTTCCTTGTATGGTAGATTGAGTTTGTTTTTATATATTGGTGTTAGTTTGATCCTCTTGACCTGATCAAAAACCATATCTAAAATTCTAACTCTTGCTTTCATCTGATTATCATTTACGACAAACTACTGGCCGAGCCTCTTTGAGATTCATAACTCCAAAACCAAGTATGATTGCACGATGGTCTTTGAGATTTTCTTTTGTACACCAGGCTCCATTTCCAATACGTTTTTTCTTGCTGCCTCTATGGGCATGTGAACAAAGATATGATTGTTCAACCCCTATATTGTGTTGTATCCAGGTTGATTTTGTCATGGTAATCCTATCCAAACTTGTGAGTAAACAAGTCAGTGTATCAAACTATCATTTTTGCTTTGCATGCTTTAGAAATGTGTACTACAATGGCCGCATCATTCCTGTTTGGCTCAGCCTATCAATTTGGGCTATGTAAGCCACTGCCTAGGTATACAGTTTGTCAGGTTCTAGTCAAGATGAAATATAAGTTGATGAAATACTGCTTTCCCTTCCTTTTATTCTTCTTGCTTCTGCAAGTATTTCATAACGTTAACGTCATGCAATAGTGTAATTACTGCTAACAAGGCCTTGTGTTTAGCTGGTTGGCCAAATTTTGAAACAAGTTATCACTCGGCAAATTTACATGTATTTCAAGCTTATAAAAGTTTATGGCGTTTACTATAAGCATCATTTTGCGTACCTAAAGATTTTCATCTCTATTATATACATTTTGGCATATCTACACTTCTCTGTTCTTGGTCTTGCAAATGAGTCACATATGCAGCAACCACATATGTCAACCTTGCATCCTTCAGAAACTTCCTTCATCACAAGTAACCATCCGGATGGAAGATTTATGTTAGAAGAGACGAGCTTCTAAAATTTTAGTAGAAGACATTATAAAATTCTAAGAGATAATACTTATAAAATGCTACGAGAGCGAAAACATATTTTTAATAGAAAATCTAAAATCTAAAATAATTTTAAATTTTTTGGCCTCAGGCCATCGCTGCAAGTAGCGACTCTGACCTGATAACTCAAAAGATGTTCAAATTAAAGAAATTAGCCAACTAACAGCTCCTCAATCAGTTATGAAGATCTGATCATTAACTCTCTCGTGTAGGGGTTTGATTCACCAGCCTTGAAAAGTAACAAATCCCAGCTTCAATGAAGTCGATTATATATGGGGATGAGAAATTAATTGTCGAGCGGTATGTCAATCTTTCATATGGATGAGTTGTCGAAATTACTAGTCTTGTGTTATATTTGATTGCATAAAAGGACAAATGTTGTTTGAACAGTGGTAGTGAGATTAAACAAAGAAAACAAATCATGTGTCAATAATTACAGAAATAGCGCATCAGAATTTTCGGGAATGAAGTCAAAACATCAAGCTTACCTTAAATGTGAAACGAAACTTCCAACCAGTGACAACAAAGGAGGCTAGCTAGGACAAACATTCAATCTCAAATTGGTAAGTGGAACGCGAACGCAACCCCCACTACCACAAATTATGACATAAGCTCTCCTAAGTAGGTGGAAACCTTAGACAAGCTCCCCCAAAGTGCAATGAAGATCGCTTACCTAGGCCATGAACCTTGATGATCGTTCATTGACCCTGTCCAGGTAAGTATGTTAAAATGTGGTAGCTGTGTTGGGCAAATCGGGTTATTTCCCACATGAACGTAGTTTCAAAATTGTGTTTCAATATTCAATAGTATGACGGGTTTGTCCGTTGTGCAATCTTTTGTGGTTTTGATCTTGATATTTCAAATCAATTTTGAAATTACGTTTGTGTTGGAAATAACCCGGTTTCCTCAACAATTAGTATCAGAGTTGCGGTTGAGGTTATTCTAGTGGTCCCGTTGTTGAAAAGATACAGTTTGTGCTATTGAATATTGTTCGTTAGAATTAAAATGTCAAAATACGTATAGTTGATACATCGAGCTCTTCATCTGAACTGGTGAGGAGGGTGAAGTCAAATGCAAACTTCTCGGTGGAGTTGTTCGATGGATCCGGTCATTTTGGCATGTGGCAAGGCGGGGTGTTAGACACTTTATTCCAACAAGGTCTAGACATCGCCATTGAGGAAGAAAAGCCCGTAGATATAGAGGAGAAAGAATAGGGAATAATCAATCGTTTAGCGTGCAACATGATTCGATCTTATTTTTCCAGGGAGCAAAAGTATGGCTACAAGAACGAGACTTCTGCAAGTAAGTTGTGGAAATCATTGGAGGAAAAATTTCTAAAGAAAAGCTCTCAGAATCGTCTCCACTTGAAAAAAATATTGTTCAGATTTGATTATCAACCAGGCACCAGTATGAATGAACACATCACTGCGTTCAATTAGCTAGTGGCAGACTTATTGGGCATGGATGAAACCTTCAAAGATGAAGATTTGTCTTTGATGTTGTTGTCATCTCTTCTAGATGAATTTGAGCACCTTGAGACAACGTTACTTCATGGTAAGGATAATTTTACCCTTAAAGATGTAACTGCTGCTTTGTATAGTTATGAGCTCAGGAAGAAAACCAAGAAGGAAAGCAAGTATGAAGCAGTGGAGGCCATGGTGGCAAGAGATCGCTCAAAAAGTCAAAAGCCAAAAAGGAGAGGGAGATTAAAGTCGAAGTCCATACTGGGAAAAGATGAATGTGTATTTTGTCATGAGAAAGGCCATTGGAAGAAAGATTGTCCAAAGGTGAAGAAAAAAAGAAAAAATGCTCCAGATGCATGTGTTGCAGAGCATGATGCCAATGACTCTGACATATCATTGGTTGCTTCATCAACAACATTCCATTCAAATGAGTGGATATTAGATTCGGGTTGCACCTATCATATGTCCCCTAATCGAGAGTGTTTCTCCGATTTAGTAGATCTAAATGCAAAAGTTATTTATATGGGTAATGACAATGCCTGTAAAACTGTTGGGATAGGTTCAATTTGATTGAAGAATAAAGATGGATCAACCAGAGTTCTGACTGATGTTCGATACATGCCCAGTTTGAAGAAAAATCTCATATCATTGGGAGCCTTGAAATCCAAAGGCTCAGTAGTCACTATGAAAGATTGAGTTTTAAAAGTCACATCTGGCGCACTTGTGATGATGAAGGGCATCAGGAAAAATAATTTGTATTACTACCAAGGTAGTACAATTATTGGAGCAGTTGCAGCAACTTTCGGAGGTGATGATTTGGACACAACCCAGTTGTGGCATATGCGGTTGGGACATGATAGAGAGAAATCCTTGCAAATTTTGGCAAATAAAGGATTTTTGAAAGGTGCAAAGGCTTTCAAATTGAACTTTTGCGAGCATTTTGTCCTGGGAAAGCAGAAGAGAGTGAAGTTTGGCACCACTATACATAATACAAAAGGTATTATGGATTATATTCACTTAGATGTATGGGGTCCTTCAAAGACACCGTATTTGGGAAAAAACCATTATTTTGTAACTTTTGTAGATGACTTTTCCAGAAGAGTTTGGGTATATCAGATGAAGTCTAAAGATGAAGTGCTCCAAATTTTCCTTAAATGGAAAAATATGATCGAGAACTAGACTGATAAAAGATCAAACGTCTTAGGACGGACAATGGAGCGGAATATAAAAGTGACCCATTCTTTGACATTTTCCATGAGTATGGTATTGTTCGACACTTCACTGTTAGAAATACACCACAACAAAATGGGGGTGGTAGAGGGTATAAATCGAACACTAGTGGAGAAAGTTAGATGTATGTTGTCTAATGCTAGGTTAGGTAAGACATTTTGGGCTGAGGTTGTGACATATGCTGGCCATCTCATCAATCGTCTGTCATCATCAGCGATAGGAGGAAAAACACCATTGGAGGTACAGTCTGAAAAATCTGCTACTAATTATGATTCCTTACATGTATTTGGATCCACTGCTTATTATCATGTGAAGGAATCTAAGCTTGACCCGAGAGCAAAGAATGCTCTTTTATGGGAATCACTCATAGAGTGAAGGGATTCCGCCTTTGGTGTTTAGACACCAAGAAGATAATTTGTAGCAGAGATGTTACATTTGATGAATATGCCCTAGTAAAAAAGTAACAAATGAAGTTGTCCAGACAAGTAGTACTCCGCAACAGGTGGAGTTTCAGCAGACGATGATCCCAGAAGTTGATGCAGCTGATTCTTCAACTCCAATAGAAGAATCAGAAGATGAAGAGGTTCAAACCCAAGAACCATTGGAGACACCAGAACCATTTGCAGTTACTAGGCCAAGGAGAGAAATTTGTAGACATGCTCGATTTGTTAATATGGTGGCCTATGTTCTTCCAATTGTTGATGATGATATCCCTATCACTTACCAAGAGGCAATACAAAGCTTGGAAAGTGATAAGTGGAAAAGTACCATGGAAGAAGAAATGCAATATCTCCGAAAGAACAACACTTGGAAACTGGCAAAATTACAGAAAGGTACAAGAGCAATTGAATGCAAGTGGGTATTTGCAAAGAAAGATGGATCTCATAGCAAGAAAGATATTCGCTACAAGGCAAGGTTGGTAGCTAAAGGCTATGCTCAAAAGGAGGGAATCGACTACAATGAAGTATTTTCCCCTGTTGTGAAGCATTCCTCCATTAGAATATTGTTGGCCTTGGTAGCACAGTTGAATTTGGAGCTAGCTCAACTTGATGTAAAGACGACTTTCTTGCATGTGATTTAGAAGAGGAGATCTATATGACTCAGCCATAAGGATACAAAGATGGTGGTTGTGAGAAATGGGTTTGTAAGCTGAACAAATTGCTATATGGATTGAAGCAATCTTCGAGGTGGTGGTACAAGCGATTTGATAGCTTTATGAGGAGGCAAAAGTACACTAGAAGCAAATATGATCATTGTGTGTATTTGCAAAAGCTCAGATATGGATCTTTCATTTATCTTCTCTTGTACGTTGGCGATATGTTGATCGCTTCGAAGAGTCAAAAGGAGATAGACAAATTAAAGGCTCAGCTAAATCAAGAGTTTGAGAAGATATATTTAGGTGAGGCCAAGAAGATTCTTGGTATGGAGATAAGTAGAGATAAACATAGAGAAAAACTTTGTTTAACACAGAAGCAGTATCTGAGAAAGGTATTACAATGTTTTGGCATGAATGAAAATATCAAACATGTAAGTATCCCACTAGTTTATCATTTTAAACTTAGTTCTCTGTTATCTCCTAAAACTAATGAAGAACCAGAGTATATGGCAAAAGTTTCATATGCTAATGCAGTTGGGAGCTTGATGTATGCAATGGTGTGTACGCGTCCTGACATTTCACAAGCATTTGGAGTTGTGAGCAGGTACATGCATGATCCTGGAAAAGGACATTGGCAAGCTGTGAAATGGATTCTACGGTATCTCCAACAAACCGTGGATGTTGGTTTAGTTTTTGAACAGGATGAAGCACTTGGTCAGTTTGTGGTTGGATATGTTAATTCCGACTATGCTGGTGATTTGGATAAGTGTCTATCAACTACTGGGTATTTGTTTACTCTTGTTACCCCAGTAAGTTGAAAGTCTACTTTGCAATCTACAGTGGCTTTGTCTATTACAGAGGCAGAACACATGGCAGTTTTCAGAGGCTGTGAAGGAAGCAATTTGGCTTAACGGGTTGATGGAAGACTTTGGAGTTGTTCAAAGTCACATTAGTCTCTATTGTGACAGTCAGAGCGCTATTCACTTAGCGAAAAATCCTCAAGAACTAAGCATATCGATGTGAGGTATCACTTTGTGCGTGAGATCTTTGAAGAATGAAATATTATACTTCAGAAAATTACAACGGCAGAAAATCCTGCAGATATGATGACCAAGCTGGTAACAATTATCAAGTTCAATCATTGTTTGAACTTGATTAACATCCTGAAAGTTTAAGCACCTTCGGGTGTGTGACGCTTGTGAGTGCAATTAGAGGCGCTACATTAAAATAACTTCATCAAATTTGGGGAGTTAAAGAAGTTGAGTAGACTTGATAATATCAAGCCAAGGTGGAGTTTTGTTAAGTATGACTTGCAAATTGGCAAGTTGAAGGCTTGCAAGTTGACAAGTAGCCAACTTGTGTACATAGGATAATTATCTTTGGTTAACAAGTGGCCAACTTGAGCACATGGGATAATTCATCCTTCGTTGGCAAGTTGACAAGTGACCAACTTGTACACATGAAAATTTCATCTTTGGTCCCTAAAATATTAGGTTATTTATAAGTTTAGTCTTTAAAACTCAAATATAAATAGACCTAATTATTTACATTAGAAATCATTCCAAAACAAGTTCTTTCTTCCAATTGTATTCTTCATTCTCTCAGGGAATTCTAATGAAAATACTTAGGCTTATTTATAATTGAGTTTTAAGGACTAAACTTATAAATAACCTAATATTTTAAGGATCAAAAATGAAATCCTCATGTAGACAAGTTGGCCACTTGAAACAAAAGATGAATTATCTCATGTGTTCAAGTTGATCACTTGCACAACTTATCAACTTGCAAGCCTTCAACTTGCCAACTTCTCAATTTGCAAGCCATACTTAACAAGCTGCATTTTATTTATAATGCCAAACAAGTGGTCCACTCTTGTATTTACTCAATGTGGGATATTGCCTCAGGATAAAATATCGCTTTACTCAAACTACTGC